TTATTAAACCTTAATACATATTTCTTTGAATAGTATTAGGTGAACATTTATGTACAGTAAATAAATATTTACTCAATAAAAAAACGATAGCTGAATGGTTTTTCTATTAAATAAATATATATTTATATTTAACAAATATTTACTTGGAACTATTCGAGCAAATATTTATTAACATTTAGTATTTTTTTTTCAGCGTATACACGGGAAGAACAATTCTGCTGAAGTATCTAAACATTTAACTGGATAAGAGCTGCAAACAATTTGTTCGACCATCAATAAAAATAATAACGTAATAGTCTTAAACATGACGAGCAATGTTGCAAAAAATTTTGATATTCTAGTTTGAGCGCCTTATATAATTATTTTGATGGTTCAACGAAATTATTTTCAGATCTGTGTCTAGCTAAATTTTTAAATGCAAAATTTTCTTTTCCGTACACATTTAGATCTAGTGAGGAAAGGCAAGACCAGTAGTATTAAAGAATTTAAAAACCGCAAAGCTGCTTTTTCTGCTGAACGCAGCCATTGATAACACGAATGAAAAGAGTACCTCATTTATTTTTCATTTAGTAACTCTTTATATTTCGTTTCTAGATACACGATACAACGGAAACGTATTTTACTTTTTATTGTATTTACGTTGCGTTTTTCAATAACGTTGCGTTTCCAATATCATATTTTTTTAATCACAATATCGACTAGCTGAATTTCGTTAGCCTGTAGCTTTGTTTACAGCTGAATTGCCGAATGGCTCGTCACGAGCGTTGTGTCAAACGCCGAACGAGCGATAATTCGTAAATAAACAAATGCAAAAGACTCTCCAAGTGCACGTTGCATAAAACGAGATTTTCGAGACAAATTCATCGGGATGGGGGGGGGGGAGAGGAAGGAAGGTAAAGATAGAGAGAGCAACGGAGGAAAACACACCCGAAGATAAACGTAGAAGGGAATCGCGAGATGACGGGGTGCGGTGAAGCGGGGGATGGCGAGGGGGTTGGTTTGTGACGGTCGACGGTAATGCGCACGTGGAGAGGCACGTAAGGAGAAGGAGACGTGGAGGAAGGGTTCGAGGCGAGTGCAGGGGGGTGGGGTGCGGCGCGGGACGCGGCCGGCGGCGAGGGGCGGCGGGGACGGCGGGTGAGGGGGGTTGCGTTTGGTCCGGGAGCTCACCGGGGGATGCTGTATTGATCGCGAGAGCGAGCGGGCTAAAGTAAGCCGAGGCTGGCTGGCACGGAGGGGTGCCTTGGCAACCCTCGTCGTCCCTCATCCCTCAGGAGTCCGGCCGCCCGTCGGCCCGAAAACCACCCCCGAACGCCAACCACTACTCCCCATCTCTCTCCCTCCCTTTGTCTGTCTCTCTCTTTCTCTCTCCCTATCATCTATTTATCTATCTACTATCTATTTATCTATCTATTTATCTGTCTATCTTTCCTTGTCTATCGGTCTCGCGATCTATATATCGTACCGAGCGGTATTGTACGCTTGATAGACATGTCTGATAGATGCTTATGTGCGATCCTTTTTCCACCCTTCCAACCTTCTTCGATATTCCTTCCGGTCGCTCGTCGACGCGCTCCTTTCTTTTCGGAAATAATTGGGACAGAACCTGTTTCCTGATAATGTTATGGTAAGGTGACGACGGTCGTATTTAACGCTTTTAGAGCAAGTCTTGCCAACCTGCTTGAGATTTATGGGACGAATGTATAAAGTGCGAGGCAATATAATATTAATGGAAGATAACTAGGACAGATCGTGCTTTCTGATATAAATATTATTAAAAGTCATAATGATCATGTTTAAATGTATATCAAGCTAGATTTTGCTACTTCGAATTTATGTAGAGGAAGTATAAAATTGATGAATAAATAATATTAATACAAGTGGAATAGATTCTATTTCTTGACAGAGTTATGGAAAATGATAATATCAGCATTTATATAATAATTTTGTTGAGCTTTGCTTGAAAAATTTATACGGAAGGGCATCTACAACTCTAATGTATTAATAAAGTGAGATAATTGCAATTTTATTTCGGAATAATGTAGTTAAATATAATAAAATAGAGTTTATACAATTTTTGAGATTTCCAAGGTTCAAATAGTATTTCTGAGGTGTTTGAAAATTATGAAAGTGTGTAAAATAAAATTGTATATAATACATTATGAAGGAAATATTATTATAGAAAAGGTTATAGATGTATCTGTAATATCAATTCGGTTCGTTGGGTTTGAAACGCAATCATAAATTAATAATATCACAACATAACATGGATTGTCAATTTTCAAAATGGTGTAAATAAGTATCTTAAAATATAATATATACTGCAAAGAATTTATTACAAAAATAAATAAGAATACATTCTGAATTAATTGCCGCAGTTACTTTATGCTTCCCTAATGGATCTGGATGTGCAGGCATGATTAATTCTGCGCAGTACAGCAAAGCAGACGCGCTCGTAATTATTTTCGAGATCTCGGGATATTTCTCAGTGCGAGGGAAACGATAAATCTTCAGGCGCTATGGTTGCCGCCCGACCTAGAAAGATTTTGCGCGTATCTCGCGAGCGAAACACATCGATGTATTCTCAATAATTCAACTCTTTCAGCCGCAAGTCTTTTACGAAAGAATGGAAATCTAAATGTTATGAAGATATTCCATTATTTTTAAGTTCTTATTCAATAAATTATGCTTCTTTGAGTACTTCTTGTGTACTTTTTTGGTATTTTTCATTATTTTATTTAAATAATAACTACGAGAGAATTTATTTAGTAGTTCAAATATGTTTCTGAAATATTTTATCAAAGATTTATTGCATGGGTATTTACTTATCTCAAGTGTAGAAATATTCTTGATAATATTTTAATAAAGTGAGAGTGCAAAAAGAATTTGGACAGGAGAGATTTCTTTTAGAAAAACCTTATTTTTAGAAAGTAAACATTTTAACAATTTATTAACAAAGAATAGAATAGATCGTAGAATTCTTAAAATCATTTTGTCTAAAAAAATATGTAATAATTAAGCTATATTATCTTAATAATAACAAAAATGAAAAATTGTATTATTTGGACACACAGAAATTAAAAAGTATTCGTACAGTCGAGAAACTTAGCTTCTAAGATCATGAACTCGATTATTTTCCTGAAGTTCTTTTTTATATATTAAAAGAGAAAGTTATTCATTGTTAATAAATTAATAATTAATGTTTTCTACAAATAATACAATACTTTGTTACGAAAATCTCCCTTACATGATTACTTTTCGTATTCACTGTATACACTTTAATACATTTGCATAATTAAAATGTGAAAATATTGGCTGACAATAGAAATAATTTAATTACAATACGTCATAACGAGAGACGCCTCTGGTTCAGCATAAATGCACGTGGGAATTTATTTCGGACGCATTTCCGGAAATTTATAATATTTCGCTCATAAAGCATCCGCTAGTCACCTCCAAATACTCGCGCGCCGGCATTAATTATCCTCTCCAGGCCGCGAAATAAAGTACGCGCGCAAACAGCCCCGTTTAACCCCTTCGATTAATTTATGCGATGTCGAAGTTGCGGGCGTCTCAGCGCTGGTCCCGCGCCACGGTTCTCCGGCAGCGCGGAATATTATTACGTCGCGTTGTGTTTACGGTAAATGCACGCAAACACACGCACGTGCATCCACATACATGCTACGCATGCAGCCAACACAAAAGTAAAACTAACCGGGATCACCCGGTTCGTTCGCGTTCGTATGGCACGGATGGTTCTCAAGGGGGTAGGAAAGGGGTGATTCACACACAGAGGGGGCAATGGCTGTCGCCGAATTGTCTCGGTATCCCCGACGATGCTCTCGCGGTGTTTTTCTGCGCTCTAACGCGTGTCCGTTAATCGTATTCAACGACGATGTATGTTGGCGAGTTGTAAACGCGACACACGGTAGATCGGGTAAAGAAGTGGGGAAGACGAGGAAGAGAAATTTACGATAAAATCGAGGGAACGTGTATTTCTTTGTGATAACGGAGGGTCTAGAAGGAGGTCTATTGTGTTCGTTGTGGCAATAAATATAATAGTAAATATGTAGAATTTTTGAAGAAAAGATGAAATACAGTACATTGCAGAATATTGATATATAAAATGTAACAATAATAAATATTTCAGCATTTATGATGTAATACATACTGAAATATTTATTATTATTATGTAATATATACTGCCGTTTATCAATTATAAAATTTTGTAAAATATTTAAAGAAAAGATGAAATAGCAGTGTGATATGTAATATTGCAGAATGTCGATATATAAATTGTAATAATAATAATAATAATAATAAATGTTTCAGTATTTATGATGTAATAAATGTAAGAATAATAATAAATATGTCAATATTTTTATAATGTAATAAATACTGCTGAGTTTATCAAAATTACATCAAATATATTTACTAGAATATATATATTTTATATTCGTAAGATATTCATTTAGTTGTTTGCTCTGCGAGTAAAAATAGGTAGACTACTGAAATATAATAATTAATAGAGGGATATAGACTAAATGATTTCAGGAATAACTCTTTTTTGCCAAAAATTATGGGCTAAGTTTGGAGTAAAGTTTTTCCTTGGTAAAAATTTCATTTGACAATCCATTTTCCTTTTTAATTTTCGAACTATCATTCTCCAACTTTTTAATTTCTGACTTTAAATAACTTGCGAAAGAGATTTTTACATTTCTCATGAGTAACTCTCGTTAAAGATTTAAAGAAACGAAAGGCGTCCTTACGTGAAATATATTTCTGGCAACTAGCGACTTCTCTTGGATACAGTTTCCCTTTTCCGATGGTAACAAGATGCTTTCGGGGATGATCTTTGGTCCTATCCGCCAGGGTACGCTAGTCGATGGTCCAGCGCAGCATCCCTCGGTCGTAACGGGCGCACCCTGGTACACAGTGGTCGAATTAATTCGGGGGTTGCTCTCTTCTGCGCAGGATCCACCAAACAACGGGGAGAGACGCGTGCGTGCCCCTGAGGCCTGGGACGTGCCACGTTCGGGGGCGATAATTTCGTCAAGGACGATTTTATCGGAAATCATCATCGTGAGACAAGAAACTCAAGAATTAATCGAGCATCACTTCCGCGAGACAAATCTTCCACAAAAAGATTTTTCGAAGGACTCACGGAATTTTTTTTCCATTCTCGTCGACCATCGAGACAACCCCAGCAAATTAAAATGGCTGTGATTGGTCGAGTTGGGTGATTACAACGGTAGAACAATAGGAGATCACGGTAGTCCGTCCAAGAGGAGTCGTGAGAGTTCGAACTGGTCGTTGAGAAAACGTAGAAACATTCGGACGAAGGGATGACCCGGCGTTACGCGCTAGTGCGCGAGAAATTTTGCTGATTGCCGGATTCTGCACCCCGCGGGGTACGCGCGGGGGGGTGGAAAAAGAAAATCGTCGTCGGTAAGTGTTCCGCTTGCTATTGATTGAGTTTAGAACGAACGATGATGCCTGCTACCCCTCTATACGAATGGCGGCGGTGCTCGTTAACAGAAAAATGCGGAAATGAAAATAGAGATCTTTCTTGGGGATAGAAAATGAACAATTCATCGATAAGTAAAATCAATCTTGGAGCTTTTTTAAAGAAACGAAGAAGTTTGAGAAAGAAATGTAATAATAAAATAAATTTATTATTGATTAATTATTCAAAGATGTGAAATGTAGTTGAAAGTTAAATGAAAAATAAAATGAGTTTCAGCGAGATGAAATGAATTATTCGCGAAAAGAGTAGTGCCGAAATGTGGAATATTAAATGAAAAATAAGTTGAAATTTAATTTAATTTAATTTAACTTAATTTAATTTTATTATGTATACCCATAGAAATACATTGAGGTATACATAAATTATATTAAAAGTCGTTTAAAGAGAATGCGAAAAATTTCAAAATAAATATATCTTTATCATTGATTAAATGAATTTGAACAAGGTCTTTTTATAACGAGGAAAAATGTAACATTGAAATTTGCAAATGTAGGGATTGAGGGCAAGAAGAGTGAAGAGGAATTTGCCGAGTAAATCGGGAAAGTGTCCTCGCGAGAGATGAGGTCCTATGATGGCGAGAGTAGCTCGACGGAGGACGACGATCGAAGAGAGGGCCTGCCGGAGGCACATCTGCAGCAAGGATCCTGGCAACGCACCGCGTCACATCCTACCTGGGCTTGGGAGCATCGCAATGCCGTAAGTAAGGATATGAAGAACATGTCCCTGATTAAACACTTATATACCATTGATTATCTCGCATGGATAATTGCAAAGGATCCAATACTAATTTTATATGGAAATTGGATTCTTGTGAAATGAATTAATTTTCGCAAATGATGTAGCTGATAATGTAGTAAAAAAGGATATTATAGACATAAGATTCAATAACGGACAGTTTTCGAGCTATGATGTATCAAAGATGTTCTGTGAAAATGAGTTTTACATTTTTGATGCACTATAGCTTGAGAACCATCAATTATTGAGGCTCGTGCCTATGGCATCATTTAGTCATTACATTATAAGCTACATTTTATGTGAAAACTAACTCATTTCATCAAAATCCACCTAATTAGATTGGAGTCCTTTCAAAAATAGTTGAAAATGAGTAATTAAAGAAACAGAATTATAATATTTTTTTGCGAGCAATAATAAAATAAGTAAACTACAACAAAGTAAAGTATAGTAGATTAAGTTGGAATAAAATATAAATTTTAGAATAAAATAGAAATTTAATTCAGAAAGTTGAAGACAAGTATTTGGGTACAAATACTAAATTATTTTTAAAGGAAATCTTGAAAATGATAAAATTAAATTAATTTTTAAACTTTCTTGTTTTTTTAAATACTATACATTAATTAATATTATTATATACATACATAGATACATCCTAGAGATATAATAACAAATCTATTATATAATGTCATAATTATTATTATAATATATTTCTCATTCAAAATTTTAACGGAGAACTTTTTTCTAGCATCCATTGCCTCCTCAATCCGCGGCAGCTCTCGAGTCCGTGTACTCGACACCAGGAGCCTCGCACCCGGGTGTGTCAGGCCCCCCGGCAGCGTACTCATCGGAGCACACTCAAAGCGCACCAGGACGGAGGACTCCACTGGGTACCGTAGGTCTCGGTGGCTTTTACTTTCAGCAGCAACCGCAACCCCACGCCTCGTCGAGCGCATTGTCTGATGAAAATCGGCCGGATGAGAGGTACGTTTCCGATCCAAATTAAAGTTTCAATTTAATCGAAAGTAAAGCCACTTGGAAAGTCGCTTTTCAGTAGAATGGAATGAGAAGATAATAGAGGGAAGTATGAAAGAAGAAAACAGAATTCTTAATCGATTAATGTAACACACATTTGATAAAATATATTTCTAAAGAACAAAAAGTTTAATTAAATGTAATTAATAATATTCATACATAAGCAGTCCTACAATTCTTTTTAGACCTTCAGGTTCGCGACTGAATTGTCCTCCAAAATCAAAGACGACTCGTCAGGGGAAGAGCACGACTTGAACGACGCATTGGACGAGCTTCGCTCCGTCATCCCTTATGCTCACAGCCCTTCGGTGAGGAAGCTGTCCAAGATAGCCACCCTCCTGCTGGCGAAAAATTACATTCTTATGCAAGGTAAATAAGTTCCTTTGATGCGAAAACCTCGTATCTTTCCTTTCTCTCGTTGAATTCTGAATTAAATTGAATTTAAATTGACCGACTAAAATAAGAAACGTGTCGTTCGCCCAGGAAACGCCTTGGAAGAGCTCCGAAGAGTAATCGCCGTCTTGCAATCGCCGCACGCGCACACCACCGCCTTGCCACCCACGCCAGTCTCCTACGACCTCTTGCAGGGATTCCCCGGCAAGTTGTTCCAAGGGGTGCAGGAGCTGCAGGGACTATCCGCGAGCGAACCTCAGATCGTGACCGGCCCTCCGACTGATGGCACGGTCGCCAGCGGAGAATCGAATTAAGGAGTCAATTTTTTTTGTTTTTTTTCTGCGGCTCCATTTCTTTTTTATTTTTCCGTAAAAGACATGAATCGATCGCACGCAAATTTAAACCATGCAATTAAATCGATAAAAATGTCGAAAAGATCAAATAGCGAGATGTACGATTCAAAGTTTTTAGAAACAAAAAGTGACGATCGGTAATTAATGTAAGATACGATGAACGAGATTTTTAGAGATGAAGATAATGGAAATACGAAGGCATTTTTAGAGATGAAGTACTTTCAAGAATGGAAACGCCTTTGAACACGAAAGTATTAATTAATAGAGTATTACTGAAGTGCTGATTAACTCCTCGAGACAGAGAGAGAAAAAAGAGAGAGAAAGAGAGAAGAATAGCTTAGCCTTTTAAATATTAAGTATATCATTTATCCAATCAAAACGCGAAAAAACGAATCGTACAATTTTATCTTTTTCGTGCAAACAACAGGATTGAAATAAATTGTAGTAGACAAAAGAAATGTCACATTTAAAGAATCAAAAATTAACGTTGAAATGTTAAAAAAAGACGCTGAAAACAAGAACTATATAATATATACAGGGTAGTCCTTAAATATACTGAAAGATTTGAAAGGGCGATTTCTTACATTAATTTGAGACTTCATATAACTATGCGTACGAAAGGCTCAGTTTTAAAGATACAAAGATGTCAAAGTTGAAAGAAAAAATTTGGTTTTTTCCTCAAAAATTCGAAAACCATTCGAGTTATTTTAAGAAAATTTTGTAAATGTGTAAAATTTCATCAAAATGATCTGAGTGATTTTTAAAATTTTTTGAAAAAATGAAATTTTTTATTAACTGACATCCTATATCTTTGAAACTAAACTGTTTTGGATATATAAAGTTTCGTTTCGAATTAATGTGAAGGATTATTCTTTAAATCTCTTAGAATACTTAAGGATTACCTTGTATATGCAATGTATACAATACATATATATAATTCATTTAGAATCTAAGAAAACAATTTCTTAGCAAAAAAAAAATAAAATGTACGGTGTTTTCAAGTAGCACCAATTCCCTCCAGTGGATTAAGTAAGCTCACTTCCAGATGAAGTCTGGACGAAAGCATTGCGAAAGTATTGCGAAAGTACTAGCGATTAAGTGATTAATACTGTCACGATCTTACAGTCAATGATGCAGCAATAAGACGATATGGCGCCGTTTTCGTTCATCCGATAATCGATTTTCGAGAGAGTATTCCAAGAGATAGTATCCCAATCGTTTAATAGTTCTTTGTACTTCCTTCATGAAAAAGTGTAGATTTTCTTCTAAAGAAAAGTTCCCTTTGTCGAATTCTTTTCTTCGATGCAAAAACGTCGAGCCAGTAACGGAAGTCTATCTGAGATTCGCGAAGATAAAGGAATCGCGAAGATGAAAAGATTCGAGGATTGAAAGGATTTGCGATGTTTAAGGATTTTAGATTTTCGAATCAAACGGAAGGACGAGAACGTCGCCAAGATTCGGAACGCGAAGCGTTTCCGAGTCTCGTCCTGAAACACGATAGTCAATATTAGTATGTGATACGTGTGTCGAGGAGTTCTAGTCGTATATACAACATAAAGATATTGAATATTCATATACACATATACAGTATATATATATACATATATATATTTAATAATCTACACGACAAAACGACGCATCGACTTACGACTTATTTATATACTTAAGAGTCTACTATACAATGTGCCAATAAGGATTTGTTCGCTTTGAAGAGCGAACGAGTGAGAGAGTGCGATGTGAGATGAGAAGAGAGAGAGAAACATGGGATTGGAAGGAAAATGAAAATTATTTATTGTGCTATTTATAAGAGATATCGTGCGATTTTCTTTTTTCTCGAAACGCTTCCAACCTCTTTCGCCGAGGGGGAAAGCAAGGATGAAGCAGCGTCTCAACGAAGACAAGGAGGATATACCTGTTGTAGAATGTAGATAATAATTGTTTAGTGCTCTCGAATAAAATCTATTTAAGAAAATTTCGATGCCCGACGAGGTATGTAATTATATATAATTATCAGATAATTTTGCGTTTTATTTACAATTTTATTTCATTTCAATTTATTTTAATTTATTCTATTTTATGTTACATGTTTCGCTTCAGTTCATTTTATTATGTTTCTATGATTTCCATAACTTTTTCTATTATTTTTCAACTCCATCATTTTAAATGAGAATGTTCTTTCTGTATCTTTCCGTTGTTTTTTTTTCTTGAAGATATTTCAAGATTGTTCTTCAAACAAAATTTTAAAAATTTCTACTGATAAGAAACATGATTACTCAGTTTACTTTTTTCTTTATGTAACGGTTATTTTCGTAGCTGTTTTATTTAGGGGGGAGCCAATTAAAACTTTTGTCAGGAAGAGGAGGGCAGTCGAGTGGTTGGACTTACCTTATATTATTTTTAATTAATTATTAGCAGGTATAAATCACAAAATCACAAGTATTTATAAATTTACCTTACTTTTTCTTAAAATTGTAAACTCATCCTTCTAATTAGAAAAACTTAAAATTATAACACTAGTTGTTTCTGAATTCTCAGAAAATCTTTCTATAAATTTCCAATTCTTTCTTTTTTTCCAAAATTAATTTCTTGTGACTGGTCAATAAATACAGTCCGTAAATGTGTAATTTTGTGTAACTATTTTTATTCTATTTTAAGATTTAGAGGGAGTCATGTCCCCTTGATTTCGCTTGGTTATGTCCATGGTTATCTTTAACAAGAAATATTTTCTTGATAATCTTAAAATGTACTTATTCCATAAATTTTAGAGAAAGAGAGAAAACGAATTTATCAAACAAATTTTAGAGAAAGAGGGAAAAACTTATCATATACTCAAAACAAAAATTTATTTTCTTTTGAGGAATATTATTTATAAAATTAATCATAGAAGCGTGCGCGCGACTTTAATATAATAAGCAAATCGAATTTGTTTTAAATTAATAATTTTAATTGAAGTATTGAATTTATTAAGATTCACAGAATATATTTTGAATAAATTTGATGCTTATGATTAGAACTCGGATTATCCGCCGACCGACGTACTGATTCGAGTTGACCGTAGCGCATTCCTCACGATTCTCCTCACTGCACTCGCCCGAAGCCGTGGCGAGCGACGGAACGATGGCGTTTGGGAGATGAGGTGTAGTGGGGAGAGTTAGCTACGGTTGATGCGATCTCAGAACTTTAATCCGGGCTCTATAATCTTATAATGATTTATGATTTGCAAATATATGAACTTTTGAGATACTTGAAACAAATATATATATATCAGGTTGGCAACGTTACCTTATAAAAATAACTCGTTACCGTTCTTTTCCCCCAAAAGTAACTCGTTATCGTTACTCGTTATTGATTTGCAAAAGTGACTCGTTACCGTTACCGATATTCAAAATGTAACGAGTCGTTACTTTTTGGTTACTTTTTTTACTTGATGCTAACAAAAATATTACAGCGTTTTTCAGTAGCCAAACTCAGTGTACATTAAAGCCGTTGTACACTACTCTAATCTGAATGTAAAAATGAAATATCTCAATTGATATAATGTCCAAAGGGCATTTTATCTAAATTAAAAATTTTCTATACATTTTATTATACTATTTTATCAAATAGTATAATAAAAAATCGACGTAAATGTGTATATTTTTATTAAATATACACATTTACGTCGATTTGTGTGTACGGATTTAAATTGCACTGAGTGCGTACTAGTTCTGTCATTGAAAAACGCTACTATATGATTTTGGCGATAAATACCCAGACAGCACATAATATTTATAAAATATTCACAAAATGTTTATAAATATTTGTAAGATTTATTTTAAATATTTTGTAAATATTTTTTTGTGGTGTCTTAGATTGCACAGATCATAAACATTTATTATAAATAATATGAAATATTTATTGTAAATGTTACAGTAAAATGCTGTGAAAATACTTAATGATACATTATAATCCAAGTAAAAAGTACTTTTTAGAAATATTTACTTATATTTATCATATATATTACATAAAATATTTGGTCTATATTTTAATAATATTTCGAATAAAGCTTTATATATTTTGGGGGTTTATATGTTAATAATATTTCGAATAAAGCTTTATATAAAATATGTATGAAATATCTATATATCATTTAAAAAAATTGAATATTAATAAATATTTTCATAAATATTTTGTGCCGTCTGGGTATTTTGAAGAGAAGTCAGAATTCTATCTTTTGGTAGAGGAATAAAGCTCAAAAACTGATATATATATATAATATATATGCACGGTTTAGTTACGACTAAAACTTTGTGGCAGTGGCCAGAAATAAAGTAACGATAAAAATAACTAGTGAAATCCTTATCATTACCCCAAAAATGCAACTGCGTTACAATGAACGTTACTCAGAAGAAAATGTAATGTCATTATTTATTCGTTACCGAAAAAAGTAACTTGTAACGGTAACGACGTTACTTGCCAACCCTGATATATTAGATATATACATAATTAATATTTCAATACAATATCTATATACGTGTTTTTCTGTGTGCACATCTTAAGATGCTAATAACAAAAATCTACGGAAAGAAGAATAACTTCGCAAGACTTTATAAACTCTATGTTCTATTTTATCTTCATCTCATCAATTAGAGAGTAGATTGTCGAGAATCTAAACTACTTGCAGTTTCAAAACTGCCGCCTTCGAAGTAGCGCCGCTTGCCGATTATAGGTGGAAATTTCTCTCCAAGGTCACCTGATCATCCAATCCCCATCGTCATCGTTTCAAAATTCTTTGAATCCTCCTAAGCGTATTTTGCCAGCGTTAGTATTTTAGTGTTTCGAGAAAGGTTTATAAAAGTTCATCACACTTCATCGCCCTGCCGTAACTTTGGTAACCGTCAAAGACAATATTGAGACAATCGGCAGCAGTAACTGCGATAACAGCAACGGTGAAGCAACGGCAGTGGCAGCAACGATGGAGCGATGGTGGCGAAGGCGGCAGCAATGGCGGAAATAGTAGTCGACTTGTGGCGCCATCGTAGCATACTCTTCCACCGTGGTGTGTTCTCATTCAGCTGCCTCCCGTCCTGGCAAGAGGACCTGACCGTCGCGATCAGAGGCAGACTGTGCCGTTTGTGCGTGCATGCCCTCTTCAAGATGGCTTTGTCCGCCGCGGCGCAGTGATATCACTCCAGAGAGAGATCGTAATCCCAGCCTGAGTTGGATTACTCTGGAGTGCTGGAGGGAGGTGGAAAAAACCGCCAGCACGTCGACAATCATCACGATCACGACGACGAGGAAGAAGGTGCCAGTCAGCAACATCCTAAGCGGTGTGGAGATGTGACGCTCGTCGGCGAACCGGTGAGTCTCTTCGTTTTCTTGACCTCGCGCTTTATTTCGAGGGATTTAGACCAGGAGGACTCATTCGAAGTCAGAACTCCACGTTCTTGATGACGTAGTTGCTGCTTCGACGAGAGAGTACGAGAGAGAAAGAGAAGCGATTTTGAGAGGTGGGAGAAGGGAGAGAGGTGAAAGAGGGAGAAAGAAAGAGAGAGAAAAAGAAGTGTTGTTAAAGATACGATGTTAACTGTCTAGATACTGTTATTT